CCCCAGTTTCGTTTTTGTGCAGTAAGTCCCATAGCAAGGGCTGTCAGCGCCAGCTGACATGGCTCTCATGTGCCTCGGTCTAAAGATATCTTAACATGAATGGATTTTGACAAACTATAGTTTGTTGGATAGCGGATGAATAGCCCAACAAGCTGACAAATCTGCAACGCTTCAGACTTGAAACTTTTGGAGTGAGCCCCAGACATAGGTATATGATGCCCCCAGTTTCGTTTTTGTGCAGTAAGTCCCATAGCAAGGGCTGTCAGCGCCAGTCGACATGGCTCTCATGTGTCGCGGTCTAAAGGTACCCTAACATGAATGGATTTTGACAAACTATAACTTGTTGGATGGTGGATGAATAGGCCAACAAGCGGACAAATCGGCAAGGCTTCAGACTTGAAACTTTTGGAGTGAGCCCCAGACATAGGTACATTATGCCCCCAGTTTCGTTTTTGTGCAGTAAGTCCCATAGCAAGGGCTGTCAGGGCCAGCCGACATGGCTCTCATGTGTTGCGGTCTAAAGGTACCTTAACATGAATGGATTTTGACAAACTATAACTTGTTGGATGGCGGATGAATAGGCCAACAAGCTGACAAATCGGCAAGGCTTCAGACTTGAAACTTTTGGAGTGAGCCCCGGACATAGGTACATGATGCCCCCAGTTTCGTTTTTGTGCAGTAAGTCCCATAGCAAGGGCTGTCAGCGCAAGCCGACATGGCTCTCATGTGTCGCGGTCTAAAGGTACCTTAACATAGATGGATTTTGACAAACTATAACTGGTTGGATGGCGGAAGAATAGGTTAACAAGCTGACAAATCGGCAAGGCTTCAGACATGAAACTTTTGGAGTCAGCCCCAGACGTAGGTACATGATTCCCCCAGTTACGTTTTTGTGCAGTAAGTCCCATAGCAAGGGCTGTCAGCGCCAGCCGACATGGCTCTCATGTGTCGCGGTCTAAAGGTATCTTAACATGGATGGATTTTTACAAACTATAGCTTGTTGGATAGCGGATGAATAGGCCAACAAGCTGACAAATCAGCAACGCTTCAGACTTGAAACTTTTGGAGTGAGCCGCATACGTAGGTACATGATGCCCCCAGTTACGTTTTTGTGCAGTAAGTCCCATAGCAAGGGCTGTCAGCGCCAGCCGACATGGCTCTCATGTGTCGCGGTCTAAAGATACCTTTACATCGATGGATTTTTACAAACTATAGCTTGTTGGATAGCGGATGAATAGGCCAACAAGCTGACAAATCGGCAAGGCTTCAGACATGAAACTTTTGGAGTGAGCCGCATACGTAGGTACATGATGCCCCCAGTTTCGTTTTTGTGCAGTAAGTCCCATAGCCAGGGCTGTCAGCGCCAGTCGACATGGCTCTCATGTGTCGCGGTCTAAAGATATCTTTACATGGATGGATTTTTACAAACTTTAGCTTGTTGGATAGCGGATGAATAGGCTAACAAGCTGACAAATCGGCAAGGCTTCAGACTTGAAACGTTCGGAGTGAGCCTCAGACGTAGGTACATGATGCCCCCAGTTTCGTTTTTGTGCAGTAAGTTCCATAGCAAGGGCTGTCAGCGCCAGCCGACATGGCTCTCATGTGTCGCGGTCTAAAGGTACCTTAACATGGATTGATTTTGACATTCTATAGCTTGTTGGATAGCGGATGATTAGGCCAACAAGCTGACAAATCGGCAAGGCTTCAGACTTGAAACTTTTGGAGTGAGCCCCAGACGTATGTACATGATGCCCCAAGTTACGTTTTTGTGCAGTAAGTCCCATAGCAAGGGCTGTCAGCGCCAGCCGACATGGCTCTCATGTGTCGCGGTCTAAAGGTATCTTATCATTTGTGGATTTTGACAAACTATAGCTTGTTGGATAGCGGATGAATAGGCCAACAAGCTGACAAATCGGCAAGGCTTCAGACTTGAAACGCTTGGAGTGAGCCTCAGACGTAGGTACATGATGCCCCCAGTTTCGTTTTTGTGCAGAAAGTCCCATAGCAAGGGCTGTCAGCGCCAGCCGACATGGCTCTCATGTGTCGCGGTCTAAAGGTATCTTAACATAGATGGATTTTGACAAACTATAGCTTGTTGGATAGCGGATGAATAGGCCAACAAGCTGACAAATCGGCAAGGCTTCAGACTTGAAACGTTTGGAGTGAGCCCCAGACGTAGGTACATGATGCCCTCAGTTTAGTTTTTGTGCAGTAAGTCCCATAGCGAGGGCTGTCATGTGTCGCGGTCTAAAGGCTACATTTATTATGTAAAGTTATTATGTAAAGTTGCCAGATCGAGGCTCTGCATGCCATGGCGGATGTGTGAAAAGAGCGAATTGCCCATTGGCGCCATGCCAAGTGGGGCCAATTTTGCCTTGAATCAAAATTTTGAGAACAAGAACGAAACCAGTATCATTTGATAGCTTAGAACTTGTAGATTTATGGAAATATAATTTAAGAATGATTTAAGATTAGACTAATTAGTTAACTTAAGAACGGCCCGAAAAGCGCGGAGGGTGGGCGTGGCCGTCACCCCCTTCTTTCCTTTTCGCTGATACCGTTGCAATGCAACGGTAGAGGAGAAAATGAAACCAGTTTGGATTATAAAAATATAACTTAAGAGTGGTTTTAGATCAGACTAATTACCTTTAGAGTGGCGGGAAAAGCGCGGAGGGGCGGGGCCTCACACCCCTACCATGTACACTTTAGCTCCTATCGTCGCAAGGCATTTGTTAAATCCTGCCAAGTTTCTTTCACATCTATCGGTAGTTCTGATGTCTTGCGGTTATTTGGACACCAAGTGTATGAAAATAGGGCAAACCTTCGTCACAAATGTTTCCAATACCAAAGCATTCTTCAAAACTTCTGATTTACGATCTTTGCAAGGCCGGAATCAAAGTAGCCAAAGCGCTTTACCCAACCATGAAACATTATTTCTAGTTCACGATATCCAGCCACATTTTTTTAACCCTTTTGCCAAACTCACTGGTGCATGAAAAAGGGGACATGGGGATCAGATGCTCTAAATAACGAAATCGTCTTGGGGTCTTAATTCGTGAGATCCTGTAGAACAATAGTCAAAATTAATTTTTGATTCACTATTTGGACTTGGGACATGAAAAGTTGGCATTTTGAATACAAAGACCGCTGATCTCTCACATGGCCGTCGCGAGGGGGAGGGGTAAGGGGGCCCTGGAAAAGAAAAAAAGGGGGGGGGAAGAAAAAAGGGGGGAAAACAGAAAAGGGAAAGGAGAAGAGGCGCGAAGTCATTACTGTTCATTTAATGGGGTGATGTCCCTGTCCACCCTCGAAATTCCGAAATACGCTGGAAGAGTACAGTTTTTTAAGAGGGGCTAGCTGTGCTTTGCCCCCTCTAGAAAAAAATCCTGGCGACGCCACCAGCTATGAACTTTCCCCACCTTTGAAAGATCATTATGGTTAGAATTCATATCGTAAGATTAGATATGGGTCGTGGAAAAGTAGGGTTTGAATAATACATCTTTAAATATCAATAAACAGGGTATATACAAAGTTAATTGACCTTTGAAAATGACCAGAGGGTAAAAATGAAACATTTTCTCACATCCGATCATTACATTCATTTTATCATGAAGAACAAACGTACGAAGTTTTATGCTTTAGTCTCAAAGTGCACAACTTTTGACGATATTTGACCTTCACAGCTCTGTCAGCCTATACCGTCAGTAACTGCCCCTTAAGATTCAATTAAATCTTTAGCTTCAAACCGGAAAACTGATATGTACTATAGAATTCATTTTTTAAATTCGCCAGCTCAGTCCTGCTGCCTGTGCTTTCGCATTATTACCCATTATTTTAAGCAGAAGTCGATATCTCTAATGAAACGAGTCCCGAATATCTATCGATACCTGTAAAGTTTGAATTCCACCTGTTAAAATGTTTTGTTGTCAAGGTTATTTAGAGTCGGCACTCTCATGCGCCCTCCGACGTATGTCATACATACATAATGGAAAAGTTAACATTTTAAGCCTGTACCTGTTTTGGTATTTGAAAATTTTTAGGCGAAGGGCCCTATTTTCATAAATTTGGTGTCAAAATAATCGCATATGACATCAGAACAACTGTCAGAGAAACTTGACTAATTTAATAAATGCATTGCGACGATAGCAGCCAAAATGTACACGGAGAGGGTTGCAGCCCCGCCCCCTCCGCGATGTTTGCGCCGCTCTTAAGTTAAGTAGTCTGACCAAGAAGGAACTCTTAAGTTATATTGTAGTATGACCTAAAACCACTCTTAGATTATATTTTTATATTCCATGAGTGTTAAAGCATCAATACAAACTGGTTTCATGTTCTCCTCTACCGGTTTAAAACGGCCGTTAAGACTGATTCATTACTCTTTTGGTCCAGCTTAGAGATTTTTTTTTCTCGTTGAAAAGCGTAATAATGTAGGAAAGTCTGTAAAATTTATCTGTGTTGTAAATTTACAATTCCCGTCACTTGCTCGGGCTCTGTTTCGAATCACGAACGGTCGGATTGCATTATGAAACGCTCAAAATTGTGTCCACATGGTCCACCGTGAAACAGAAACCACATCCGATACGGTGCGCATTTCTATTGTAAGTTTTCGGATAGCATTTGCGCACATTGTCTAACTGCGGTCTTGAATAGCTGCAGCCAGATGCTTTATACATAGGTCATAGGCATAGATATTTATTCTATATCTATGGTCATAGGCCACTTCCTTCACAAGATTCTGTGCCAACTCATCAGCCTCCCGAGCGGGGCTGTTTGCAGGGCGGGGGGTACGAGCGAAACCATGCAACGTCTACCCCTTACACTATGGAACAGTAAGACATTAGGTTGTCTTTTCTTTCAACCAAATTTTTAGAATAGGATAAGTAAACAATCCAAAACATGAAATTTTCGGGGATTTCAGGACGGAGTGCACCTTTAATGGAATTTTATCACATTTCACCTATTGCATATTCATTATAACACTGTGAACTTTGACATTCTGATGCATTCTGGGAGTCTCCGCTCGAGCGCTACCGAACTGGCAGGCATCAGGGCATGGAATATTGTTACGCAGCTGGACAAAAATTCCCCGACAAATTTCGGCTTTTCCCACCACATTTTTCTGAAAACTGAACTCAAAGCATTAAAACACCATGAGCGATAAGTCATTGGAGGACTTCTTTGCGAAGAAAGACAAGAGCAAAAAGAGTAAAAGCAAGAGCAAATTTGCGAAAAGCACGACGGAAGAAATCGCCAAGCGACTCACCGAAGCCGATCTGAAGAAGGAGCGAAAAGAAAAAGAGAAAGAAAAGCCACCGCCTCCAAAAGAAACAGAGGACAAAAGTAAAGTAAAGGATATCATAGGGGTAAGGCTGATTACTCTTTTTTCCATGACCAATTTAAGATACATGTAAACTGTAATGTTTTTTCGGTAATTAGGTAATCATTGGTAATTAGGGCAATTTAGCATGACATGCATGATTAGGCCTAGCTTGAGTAACTCCAGCTGACATGCTCCATATTCATTCACATGTAACGCTGGAGGAAGGCCTGTGCATTTCCATGTGGTAGCAAGAGACCCTAAAAAAATGGCCTCTCCCAAAAATTGTTCATTTTTGATAGTGGATATTTTGCCGGAGGTAATGACGGAAAACTAACGATTACTAAAGGTTTGCCGGCGGCAATCCATATCAACAGAGGGCGCTGTACTCTTTAAAATAGGGCTGAATTATAACATGTATTAAATTCCCACCAAAATTTGTGTAGAACGTTTGGTGTAGTGGTTAAGCAAAGGCTCCAGTAAGCGGGATGACTCGCGTTCGAATCCGACCGCACCACATTTTAAAGTTTTTTTTTTCTCATCCCCAAATAAATAAGAATATTCTTCTTTTATTATTTTAACATGTCTCAAACATTTTTTGCAGAGTATTACATTTTCTTTTTCAGATTTGTTGCTCTGGAGGATTTTTTTTTAAAGGGAAATAAAGTCCGAAATTATAAAATGGTTTGAATCCCATCTTGTGGATACGAGGGAACAACGATAATTTTGGCATGGAGCCAGACTAAAACTTGTCACCGGAAAATGTTTAAAGTACAAAAAAACAGTAACTGCGCATGTTCAGTGCATATCCGGCAAACTAACGTTTACTAAAGGTTTGCTGTCTCCGGCAAAATATACACTGCCTTCATTTTTACCTCTAATATCCCACCCCAGAGTTCACCCACATACCTCATACATTCAAGGCAGTGTATATTTTGCCGGAGACGGCAAACCTTTAGTAAACGTTAGTTTGCCGGATATGCACTGAACATGCACAGTTACTGTTTTTTTTACTTAAACATTTTCCGGTGACAAGTTTAAGTCTGGCTCCATGCCAAAATTATCGTTGTTACCTCGTATTCACAAGATGGGATTCAGACCATTTTATAATTTCGGACTTTATTTCCCTTTTAAAAAAAATCCTCCAGAGCCACAAATCTGAAAAAGAAAATGTAATACTCTGCAAAAAGTGTTTGAGACATGTTAAAATAATAAAAGAAGAATATTCTTATTTATTTGGGGATTCTCGTTGTCTTGCTTTCCGCGACAACGCACCAGACGAAAATTGAACTCACTTGCGGCGCCTGAAAGCGGTGTGGTACCCACATACATCGCGCGCGCCGATTTTTTGATGTCATCACGTGATGCATGCATTAATATAATTAGCAAAACAAAATGGAAGACAGCCGTTGGAACTGGCGTATTTTTACGGACAAGCCACCAAAATCGTCAAGATTTTTCACGGTTTTTTTTGTGGTCTTGTTTCAAGTCGATCATTAGGCTTCGTAAATGACTGCTGAATGTATGAGGTATGTGGGTGAACTCTGGGGTGGGATATTAGAGGTGAAAATGAACAATTTTTGGGAGAGGCCATTTTTTTTAGGGTTTCTTGCTACCACATGGAAACGCACAGGCCTTCCTCCAGCGTTACATGTGAATGAATATGGAGCATGTCAGCTGGAGTTACTCAAGCTAGATTAGGCCTACTTTTACTTAGCTTGAGTAACTTCTGCTCTAGGCCCCCTAAATGCCTATCGCATATGAATGCCATGAATAAATTAGATGAATCAGATTCAGTCTCGGCAAATTTGGCACTTGGACCTGAGATTACATGTACACATGTTCATGTAGCAGCATATCTCACGCATGCTATATTCTAGTCTTAGTCCACTCCAAGACTGGATTTGATTTTGTATTCCCCTATTTTTGAGAAGTCCCATGGCAAACGCGTTAAAGTTGCTGCGACAGTGGAGGTCTGTATCAACAAGATGATACAGTCAATTTAGTCTTGGTGATATTGGCGGTGCTTTTCTGGAAATTCCAAGCGTACCTCACACCTGTGCATTACCTTGCATACAGCGAGGTATGCTCGGAACTGCCTGGGTAGCACTGCCAGTATTGCCAAGACTGGATTTGATATACATGTACTATTGATAGAAGGGGAATAAAATTTAAAACAAGTCTTGGAGTGGACCAAGACTAGCTATATATTCAAGGTATTCCCAGAATTTCTTGGTTCCCAAGCTTGATACTTGTATGAAATAGCTTATGAAACCGACCTTTACTGCCCTAATGACTCAACTATGCTTATTTATTATTTCGGGGATTGGCTGCGTTAGGGGAACAAAATTCCAAATCAAGTCTTGGTCAGTCCCAGTGTCTGGGTCACGTTTATCAGGCTACCCCAACTGCAGGTAGTATCCCTTCTAAGTGTAGGAATTTACTTATAGCTACCATTTGCAATGCTTATTCAGGACGAAGATGATTGGAGAGACAATGAGGAGGAAAAGGAAAAAGACTACAGTGGGTTGAAGATCCAGCTACAAATAAGGTTGGTTACTTATGTTGCTAAAAGGCTGAACCTTTTTTATCTTTAATTATTTAAGGCTGATTTGGTCTAAACTCGTAAATTTGGCTCAAGGAAAGGCTCCCCCCCCCCTTCCCCCAATTTTACACTTGCAACAGTTTGGAAAAATGTGAGCATTAGTTTAACCCTAACAGAACTCAACCCATCAAACCCCAACAGCATACTTACCCCTAAACTGACAGTCTTTTACATTGGGTTGGCACACCTCCAGAAACTAAGTCAGAAATATGTGTGCACAGTTTCCCATATGGTGTTGGAATTTGCCAGGATGGGTATGGTTCCTAGTAAATCATGCCAGGGAGTTAGGGTTAAGGAATTATGTAACAGTGTGGTGGAGCAGTTTTCGATGTCTGGTTTTTAATTGGTCAAGAGTCTAATAGCCTGAGCCGAAGGCGGGACATTATCGGCGACTAAGCCCCTAGCTGGTTTTAATTCAAATGTTTAAAACTGCTCCACGACACTATTATTCCCAGCCATAACAAAAATAATGGTCAAAAAATTCAATAAAATACCGACAGTTCTAGTGTTTTGTTCAATTTACTCAATGTTCATGCTAATACGCAACGTATCACTCTCCATACGGAAATCATTTCAGTAGTCGTAGTACGCACCCGGTTGTAGTAGGTACGTGCATCGTGTATTACCCTGTCGTAGTAAGTGCATGCAGCATGTACTGCACACATGTAGCGTGAAGTGCAGTGCCTCACGACAGGTTTTAAACATTGCTGACCTGTGTTTAAACAGCAATTAAACCACCCACATGACAGGTTCGCGACCAAAAGATATTTATGAATTCATTATTACTCGCTGAAACATTGGCACACTTGTAATTTGTGCCACATGCTGCGCAATGCAAACAGCCTGAATTAAAACTTTGGGCTCACTTTCGCGGAGCTCCCACAGAAATTATTGTTAAGCAAATGTATGTGCTAAGCATAAATCACCAGAGAACCAGTTCAAACCATGTACATTAAATGAGATTTTGGTTGGTAACATGTTTTTACTAAGAAATCATTTTCATGCACCCTAACCCCCTAGGCCCTCTTAGTCTAGTACTACTGTCTAGGATGCAACCTCAATCCTGCACAATCCTCCAATTGCCACTAAGAAAAAAATTGTATTCAGCCTCAATCCTCCAAATCATCCTTTATTTCTTGAATTTAGTCTGTGGAGGGTGACCACTGCCTCAATCCTCCAAAATCCTCTGCCTGTTACTGTTATGGTTTGAGGCAGTGCAAATGGCGTTTAGAAGCAGTGCAGATGAAATACGAGAAAAATACAGGGCTGATTTATGCATGGCTGAACATAACCAATGCAGGATACCGGTATGGCCTACTGGCTTGATGTAATGCATCCTCCACAAAAAGCGATACATCTTTGCCATTCATCCTCAATCCTCTAAAATCGTCCAAAACCGGCAGGAGGATTTTGGAGGATTGAAGAGGGTTAGGGTTAAAGGATGAGACTTAATTTTGTAAATGTGTAACAAATATTTTAAGAACTGTTTAACCCAATAGCACCTTGACTTCATTGTATTACAGTGTACATGTATTTATTCACTGGAAAATCAATAAAACCATAGAGTGCTCGGGCGGTTTCAGGCTGTACAGTGAGTAATAGGCAGGGTGGTTCGGGGCGCTACAGTGACAAAAGGGTTAAACGTTTATGTTAAGTCATTTCACAAAGGCTGATGCCTGCCCATTACATGTATGTCTGCAGATTGTCGTGATTGACATGATATAAAATCAACAACGACTGGGCAGTCAATGTAAAAGTAAAACCTTCACTACGTGTACCTCAAAAGCAATCCAGCACTGCAGTGCTGATAAGGTTTTGTAAATTGAATAGTTTTGAAACTGCCATTAATTGTTTGTGCTATGTATCTTTAACTTGAAGGAAGATCGCGTGAACGTAGGTCCCTAATTTATAATTCGGGTTTCATTTGAACGTTTTGAACAATGTATAATATTTTATGTTTAAACATGTAAACGTCACATCCTTAATGCTTTGCGCCTTTCTGTGCTAAGTAGCTTCAGGAATCTGGCCCACTGATGCATTTCCCTCTTTGTTTATCATTCTCTCTCTTTCAGTGCAAATCCTGATCAAGATGTGGAGGAAGAGGAAGAAGAAGAACTGGATGAGAACGGGGAACCAGTCAAGAGCAAAGGAGCAGGGCATAGTGGGCCGTGGAAAAAGATAGACGCAGGTAGGAAACCGTTGTTTGAAAATCCCTTGGGTCAAGACTGGATTGCAGGAGGTCTATATCCTTGGTAAACCTTTATCAAGCTATCAAGCTATCAAGCTGTCGAGCAGTGGAGGGGCTATCAACAAGATGAATCATATCCATGGACTTTGGCACTCAGACCGAGAAATTCTGAGCTTACCTTTAAAACAGAAATGCTACACTGTTATATTTTTGCAGTGGTTCTTGTTACGTAAATGTAGCAGTGAGACACACATCAGTGTAGGGTCGCCTCGTCGCAAGGCCTTGCTGAAAAAACTATATTTTGTTGAAAGGGCTACAGGTTGATGTCATGGCCAGTTAAATGTTCTGATAGGTCAGAATGCTCCCTTTATTAAAATTTTGTTACTTTTTGTATCACTTGAGTTTCTAAGTTCAGCTGTTCATTGCTTTACCTTGTAGAAAGTATACATGTAGTGTAAACAGGATCATTTGAACTAGCATACTTGTGCAGAGTACCGTTAACACACCTTTATTAAAACTGACTTACGCTGTACACGGTATGTTTTAGATGGGGACAAAGAAGCAGAGGCCGCCCCGCCCCCGAAACCCGCAGAGCCAGTAGCTCCAGCATCCAATGTGGTGGTCGGCGGGAAGTATGTACCACCCAGCATGCGCGGCCAGCAGGCCGGTAGCAAATCTAGTATGACCCCTTCCAGGTTAACCGGGAGGAGCAAGACCGCTCCACAGATCTCCAGTGAGCAAGAGTTCCCCTCCTTAGCAGCCAGCTCCGATATAGCTAAACACACGTGAGTTGATATTTTTATATTGATTTCTTCATTAACCCTTACTCTCTGAGGGTAGTTTACTGCATGTCAGTTGGTTATGCCAATGCCCTCCAGCTGCAGTTTATTGGCAGATACTATAGTTTGTCAGTGAAGGCTCCAATTGGCAGGAGTTGGAGGCCCTGGAGGGTGCCTGATACTGACCAGCTGGGGGCACTCACTTTGTTATCAGAGGACTCTCATTGTTCTCTGTGGCATGTATTGGAGTGCCTGTCCAGTTACCCTTGAAATGACATGGCAGATATTGGAGGGCCATGCAAAAAACATAGGAGATTTTCTTGAGGCACATATTGGCATGCGTTGGAGGGTCTAGTAGGGTAAGGGTTAAATTATCTTGTTCTATGAATTATGGACACAGCTTTAAATTGCATTTTTCATGAAAGCTGGCAAGTAAATTGCCCTCGTGGAACATACATGTATATATAGAGTGGTGCAGTTTCGTGTTTAATTTATTGTTCAATTTTTTCAACTTGGACTTGATCAAATATTTGAATATTCAATTTCAAGATGCAATGATCAAGTTCAACATGTGATAGCCTGCACTGGCCCCTAGTATTGATTTGTGTGCACCTACACTCGGTGAAAATTGACTAAGAGCTTTTCAAAATAGTAAACAGGTAGTGGAATGGCTGATACTTGAACGAATTTAAGAAGAAATTTCAGCTAAATAATAAACTCGTGGAAGTTCTCAAATCATGCCTTAAATTGGCATTCAACAAACAATTAAACCACACACGTTGTACATTTTTCATCTTCGTCTCAAGACCGCTCCCATTTTTAAAAATATTTGCATCGAAAAAATGTTATTTGGATATTCAGTCGGTGATCAAATATTCGGTATATTGTGCACATATTTTGCACAACATACTTCAGTGCCCGAAATTTTCATCCAGGGATCAAAAGTTATGGAGTTCTAAGTCATCGATAGCGTGATCCTTTTAGAGATCATTGGAAACGTTTACAATTTTTGCCAAGGTCAGCATAGTTTACAAGCCAGTCATTTCTATTTTGAAAAGCATAGTACATCCCTTAATGTAACACCAAGAAATGTATGGTTGTGTGCGGAGAAAGTTGTCAGTCTGTAAACATTATTTGATTTTTGTGCCACTTCTGTTTTGATTTTGCAGTGACAAGAACTCCGACAAGAATTTTGAAAAGGTGACGAGGGGAGGTCCAAGCATAACCAACCCCGGAAGCCAAGGACCCAAGCTGGATCTAGAAAACCGCTTTGCAGCCCTCGGACAAAACTGACACTTGGGAAGCTGTCCCAAACCCCTAGAGAACGAGAAATTACACCCAAAAAAAACACAAACTGAATTTATGAAACTCACTCATCATGATCATTGATCGTCCTAAAAGTGCTGAGGTGCTGGCTGTGTACATAGACCTGAAAAGAATGAGAGTGTTTAAAAGTCGGAAACTATAACTCATCTGACAGGGATGGAAAAAATCAGCAGAGGCTTCCAGTGATTGGCAAGGGATCGTGATATTGGGGAATTTTTCATTCTCTTGAAGGAATGGTAGCGGAGTCGGACATCCTGGACCTGCTGTAAATACATTGATGGATACGTTGAGACTCGACACTGGAATTCTAACCCTGCCTACAGAGGTCAACGATGCATCAACGGTTAAAGTTTGTACCTGTCTGTGATTAGGTTTCTACGCAGGATCACTGCTTATTTGAGATCTTCCGCAACTTGATTTGAAGGATGTCTCCTCAAAATTATGAAAAATATTAAAATGTACACATTTGAATCATGCTACTCCAGTAGATGTTATTGGTTCTTTTGGGGTCGGATATTTTTGTTTTTCATTTCAGGGTGCAAACTTATAACAAAAAGGGCTAGTTTTTCATGGGACACCGCTAGCCATACTGTACTTTCAAACTGTGATCGTGACTTGAAGACAGCAATGCCATTATTGGAATAAGTCTTCCTGCACTTACTGAATGGCTTCTGTTATAAATATATGTGTTTTGGAAAGCGTATACTTTCAATTTGTTGCCCAGTGGACAAACACTTTCATTACATATACAAGCCATGTGGGACTGGATAACTTTTAATTTTGCATCGATCAATAGGGAATAGGGGATTGCAAAGGGGCATTCAATTTAAATCTTTACTGTCTCTGCATAAAAAATGGCATTTGCCAATCTGTACTACACCCAAAAGCTTTTGAATTTTTTTCTCACTAGCCCTCAGACAACACCGAGTATACAGTGTTTATAAAATAGTTGGCGTACTCGGCGAAGGGCAAAACCCAATATAAAATTGATATCTCCCTGATGCACTTCCACCTTGTATTGTAACAAAACAATCTGTGCTAGGAGGTGCTCAACTTTTTGTGTGCTTCTTGTGGTGAAAATGTGCGAATGGCTGTCAAGTGACGGACTGGAATCCTGGCCTAATATGATGGGTAGTGACCTCAAGTGGCCTGAGATTTCATTGGTTGCTATCTACCTTGCCGGTTCTTCCTTTCCTGTTGTCCGATTGGCCAAATACTCAAGTGTGCATAGATGTGGAACACATTGGTTGTGTTGGAGTAGCTAACACATGTAAGTAAATGTACACAAGAGCGTTCGATTAGCCATCACGGGATGCTCGTGGCTGCACCGGTATCAACCACCACTCACGAGCAGGTCTCTGGTGGATGCCCAGATGTAATGATGTAGCTGGACAAATTGGGTGCTAGATTGAAAATGACGGGAACTTGAATTGAATTCGAAGAACTACATGTAGAGTACAAATGTAGAGATTTGTTACTCAAACAAAATGCAGTTTACGTTAACGGGATCAATTGGACAGACATATTTTTGATAATTCAGAGCATGTCTTCGGATTCCAGCATTGATTGATCTTGTTACAATGATAAAACCTAATTCCATTTTACCAGCGGAGCAGACGACAGTATGTCTGGTGTGTTTACATTCCCGCCATGTAACACCCTTTGACCTTAATTTTCCCAGAATGCCAGGCAAGTACACCACAGCATTTGATTAGCCTCATTTCGTAGCTTCCTCGAGTGTAAACCCTGTGTATACTCGGGGTAGCCTACTGGAATGGCCCCATTGATGATAGGAATTCGCATGGAAATACATGTATGTACTTATCGGCATTGTTGGGCCAATCATGCACTGGCTCACTGACTCTGTAATTGAGATTGAGGCGGTGTTTCAGTGACATCTGAATTCCATTTTCCATTGAGCGCCAATTCTTGGATGCATACCACATGAATACACTGCAAGTTAGTGCACAACTGCACATTCATTTGGGAGTTGTGCAAATTTGGCTTTGCGAACCAATGCGCGCAGTACCACAGTGCCCTTGATTTGCTTGTTTGCCACACATTATCCCCTGTAAAATGTATGGCATTATATGAAAACTATTCTGTCCTTTTAATGAATAGAAACGGAAATGAAAGAAGTCCTTGAATTATTATTTTGCTAAGAGCATACACGTATGTTTTTCCTTTTGGGTTGATTGTTTAGTTAAAATATAAGATTTACTAGCAGTTATTTTATTGGCTATGTAAACTACTTGATAATGATATGTGTATGTCGTCACACACCAAAACACAGCTCTGCTTACCTGTAAATTAGTGTCGGTTTTCATAACCCATTCAATCGGTTAAAGGCAATTTTTTTGTGCTAGTGTTCAGACTAAGTATCCATTGACATTTATTAACCATTAGCATTTGTATTATATTGTACTCCACTGTATTTACTCCTTCATGAACCCATAAAACATGAAGTATTGCTTTAGATAAAGCAGAATTGATGCACATGTATTAAGTACATGTATCCTTTTAAAACATGACATTGTGATCCAACGAGATCAATGATGAAGTTTAGGTCAAGCTGCAAATCTTGTACATGTAATACTTTCATGGCATTTATTTGCTAAAAGAATTTATTACAAAACAGTCATCAACGGAAGGTAAATGTTAATGCGGCATTCTAAATGCCAGTGTCATTTGCATATGTACAGCACATAATAAAATGTCAAACACCATGTTTAACAATCATGGTGCCAACTGAAAATATTGAATTTGCATCTTTTATTGATACTTTTATCTTCTTAACTTTACCTGCTTAAAACCACTTTTTGTGGGGTGAATCAATACTTTTTTTTTGCCAGATACTTGGTAAGTTATTTAAACTGATGAAGTTCAAGGATGTTGGGTTATATTGTGTGAAAAAAAGGACAAATAATACAGAATTTAAAATTAAGCAAAACTCGTTGAATATTTGGGGGTCCTTTGTTACATGCATACACGCAATTATCTTCTTTTTTTCATTTTCATTGTACTGTTTGTATCTTGCGTTACAAGTTCAACATCTCATTGGTAAAATAGGTAGTTATTTGCTTAAATCATTTATTTGAAATTCACCACAATGTGTAACTGTTGCACTTGGGGAAAAAATGAAGACTCTTGCACTGTGTTATACATGTTGCATACGAATACATGTATGTTCATTCAATGTGGCCAAAGCTAGTAATTACTTTTCAACCCAACAGTGTGGATACGTTGGAGTCGGTCAAAGAGACTCCACTTTCTGGCATGACTCGTTTCTCATTTTGGCACCCCCTGTTGGCGAGCAAGCTAAACTGCCAGGCTAACATATGCCATAAAACAGACTGGAATATAAATCACAGCTAATTTGTCTGAGCATTCACTTGAATCAAATGCTGTGGTATTATATGAATAAGTTTACTAAATACATGTACATGCACTAGGCATGGGACATGTTCATTCCCTCCCCCCCCCCCCCCCCCCCCCCCAATTTGGATAGTTGTGGGTGCCACATACATGTACTGCAGACCTCTGCTTCCCTCTACTTCTGTTCTCATTTAATTTACTACCAGAATCTCCAACTCCACTGTGTTTCACTTTTGTGCAAGCATTTAACATTTCCTTGGATCAGCGATTTCTAGTTTTCCTCTTCACACTTACGCCCACCAAAAACTGAAAAACATTGCGCAAAATCTTGTTGAGCCTACAATGTTCTCTTTTTCATTACTTTCAAGTTGTACATGTATGCCTGATTGTGGGGTCCCAGTGTCCCTAATGGCGCGCCTTCGGTAGCCAAGTACAGTAAGCCATGTACGTTCATGTTTTGATTTGATTTGGTTTGATTTTAATTGCTTTGATTCGTTTCCAAACATCGCAATTATAAAACTTCACTATTAAAATTAACGGAATATACAGCAATCAAACTTATTCCCGACACTTTTGTAGTCATACATGTATTCCATTGTGTCCCTTTATATCCCTTTTTCAAGAATAACAATACACTTGAGATGAAACATGGGCCTTCAGGGAGTGTGAAATAATTGAGGTCACCATTTGATGAAATTAATAAGACATGCTTGCTTTGAATATTTCCTTTTATTTTAAATCTCAGTGAAGATTATTCTCAGTAAAGACTAAAAACAGTTTCTTTTCTGACACTCAAAAAAAGTACAATGTACATTTACTTGTGTAAGTTTACACTTTATTCTTAGGCTGACACTGATATGACCCGTTTCTTTTGTTGTAAGAATTATAAAACAAAACATCCCGAGTATCAAACAGTGGCTTAGCAGTAAAATGGTGAATCAGTCAAACAAAAAATAACAAAAGTACACATGAATAGCCCTCTGTCCAAATATATAAACATGGTTTGGAATATTTGTAATATTATTATTATTAACGTTTTGTAAAATACATCCAATTTAATATTTTCAGACAGCTGCATGGCACTTTTCTCAGTGGTCGCCATATGATGAAATTAATAAGACATGCTTGCTTTGAATAAGTTGGTTTTCCTTTTATTTTAAATCTCAGTGAAGATTTATTATTCTCAGTAAAGACTAAAAACAGTTTCTTTTCCGACACTCAAAAAAAGTACATGTACACTGTACTTGTGTAAGTTTACACTTTATTCTTAGGCTGACACTGATATGACCCGTTTCTTTTGTTGTAAGAATTATAAGACAAAACATCCTGAGTATCAAACAGTGGCTTAGCAGTAAAATGGTGAATCAGTCAAACAAAAAATAACAAAAGTACACATGAATAGCCCTCTGTCCAAATATAGAAACATTTGATTGAATATTTGTTATATTATTATTAACATTTTGTAAAATACATCCAATTTAATATTTTCACAAAGCTGCATGGCACTTTTCTCAGTGACCTTTTGTGCATATCACTCATTCATAGAATTTTGCTTTTCATAGAATGTCCAAACATACCGTCGTGAGAATTTATATACATGTACCTGAGGAAAAATATACAATTTTTTTAATACAGTGTATTTTGTTACAGACATGATATAATAAACAATGTTTGTAAACAGGGGTTAATTTTGTAAAACTTTACTCAACCAAATTCATATCTTTTGTAAGTTTCCCAGATTCCAAATACCAATCTGCTCAACAATCTTCAAATTATGTTATGCAGAGAAGCATCTTGCTGGTAACACTGTTGCCAATACCAGCAACACTTTATGGAAAAACTAACAGAAACTATTTTGAATTAAATATATAAGTTCATGTACATATTAAAACCTCCAAAAGATCCTCTTAAATGTGTCTCATAAAAAACAGAAAGGCAGTACGTTATATGAATAATGAGTAGTATACATTTCAATTTTATCCATTGCGATCAAGTTAGACAAACTGTGTCAGTTTAAGCACATACTGCATTGTCGAATTAGATTTCATCAGGACTTGATATGTCATCAGTGCTGATGAAAGAGAAAAAAATTGAGGATTTTCATTTAAAAAAATTATATTTTGATTCTGAATATGAAATTGAAATTGAATGCTCTTGTGACTGATATTATCTCAAAGAGTACAATGTACTGTGGGTTCACATAATATAAATACACTATAAAAAGTACTTCTGTGGATACTATAGAAACTGCAACAACAGCAAAAAAGTACAACGCACGGGTAAAAAGAAAAACCTGAAACAGCCTCACTGTTGTAAAACTGTCTTCAAGTTGAATATGCATGAACATGGAAAGTAATTTAGACAGTATCTGAATTACTGCAGGCACAGTGCTTCTGAAGGTTTAAAATGAAAAATGGAACCGTCCATTTCAATATTCATTATAATTTTTTCTATTAAATAAAGTGGATTTACTTTCACTGCTGCAGTATAATCTGGCAGTGAACATGTTATGTCCCAACGTACCACGATCCCAAGTTAAGCTGGGACCGTCCCGACTTACAATGTACGTGCTCCCGTTGGAACACTTTAGTTTGGACAGGCACAACCTAAGTTGGGCCATCCCAACTGCAGTTGGGACTGATGATCTAGTTGGGGCATATAACAAACACATTGATTGTTAAGCTAATGCAAGCCCAGTGGATATTTCAGGAAGCCACTGTTAGTGGCAATGGACTCTCAATCAGTGCACAAGTACCCCTCAATGGTGACAAAGAGGTAGATATAAGAGGCACTTAATCACTGCCGGAACATACACGCCTAACGCCCTCTCCAAATATTTTGCTTAATATGTACACAAACCAGTGTTCATGCTAGGGCTGTGCCAAATACATGTATGCTGAATATTCAAGTATTCAATCATCAACTGAATTTCCAGTTCAGATCTTCAAAACATTCAAGAGGTGATGAAAGACATCCACAATGTTATTTTAATCACACAGGTTGCATAGTTACATTGTTTGTCAAGTGCGACCCTTTGTTGAAAGCCATTTTCACACATAATTTCCATGAGAGCTTCACATACAGCTTCCATGACAATTATCTCAACATTTCTTCTCTGATATTAGTCAAATATCCGAAACATTTCACTACCTGTTCTTTCTATTTTTAGTTCAATAAGCTCTTTATCAATTTTTCGACAAGTGTGGGTGCATTCAAGTCCCAATCGAGGGCAGTTTAGGCTGGTGTATGTTTAACTTTAATATTGCATTTTGAAATTGAATATTTGATGAAGTCCAAGTTGGAATAATCGAATACTAATTTATTCCAAAATGCACCTGTAGTCCTAGTTCATACATGCATGCAGTGTGCCCCATATATGCTTGACCTCTCTGCACTGTGCGACCTTCTGATCCGCAAAGAGTCCATATTGCATAGAAACTCTTTAAGCCTTTTCTTTCATCACTTCTAATCTATGATTAGCATACTCCCTCAGTCGCTCATACCTCGACCTGTACGTTAACCCGTGGGGACCACAGCTATCGTAACATTCATACTGCGGCAACTCCAACATGAAGTCTTTGAAGTCCCGCAGGACATACACAAAGATGTCGTCTATGTTGCCCTCAACCTTTGACCCTGCACTATCCTCAATGAGTTGCACCTGAATGGTTGTCCTCTGGTAGTACTGCGGACAATTCTCAAAGACGTCACAGTGCTGTAGCATCTTATCATCTACTTCATATATTTCACCTATTATGTTCTGGGGGGAAAAAGAGTCAAATGGTTTGGAGGGTGTGAGGCAACAATGTAACGTTTATGTTTTACATAAAAAAATTCCATCTTAAGTGAAGGGGTAGGGGGAGAAAATGTTGAAAGAGAGACATACATGTACATGTACATGTATAGGCCTATACCATTTCTTATAAGATTTATGCCACTGTGCAGTCAAGTTGTTACAAGTCATTACAGTTGTCAATAATATTGCAATCACAATCAAAGCTTTCCTTTGTCGTTACATGTATTTATCTCCTGTAAGGCCAAAAAAAAAAAAGTCGGTCTCTGATCAGTCCAAAGTTCCAGAATTGATACGGCGATGCGGGGTTTTTTGGGGGGTTTTTTGGCCTTTTTTTTTCATGCTTGGATTGTACAGCTGTCACAACGTGTCGATTGACTGGCCGCCATTGTTGTTGATCAGCTGGCAGCAACTTCGTACCCACGGTCTACTATCATTCGTTCAACATCAACCTCGTACTGGATCTATCACTGGGTATGAGCTGCCCAAGAACATTTAAGGCGGTGCAGCAAGCAATAAAGGGCGCTGTTGTAGCTAGCGCAGACAATTTTGGGGAAAAAACCATTGACGTGCACGATCAAAATCTACGCGCGCGTTGATCAGAGACCGACAATTTTTTTTGCCTGACCTATGGGCTCACTCGATTAACTCGCGAGTTGACCTGTGATTCAATTGTGATGGACGTGACTGTGATGGTGATATTGCTGGATATGTGTTGCAGCTTATGGATGTCATCATAAAATAATAAGGGGAAATAATTAAACTATATACAACAACTATACGGAAGGTATCAGGCTGGCAAGACTTATTAGCTCACAAATTAGCTTGCATATACAATGTATAGACAGGGATGCATTTTTTTTACAAATACTAAATCACCGATTTGCTAATTAATATCGGGCTTAATAAATAAAACGTACATTTCCAATCCCCTCCCTGTCCAGAAGATATGGAATGTTGCACTGCGATGCTATCACAAGGGGCCATTTCTGCACCGTCCGAGCCTGGCCTATGTAGTTGGCGACACCGTTCTTAGGACCAAACTGCTCAGCATTGGGCTGTCCCCGTTTAAGAGTTCCGTATACAAACAACCGATGAAACGCTGCCATGACAAAGGTAATCCTGTCCACCACACTTGAACTTGAAAAGACAAGAAAAAGTCTTTTTAATGGCACGAAGACATTTCCCAAATTGCCAATAAAACAATTAATATGCTATAAAAGACATTTCCCAAATTGCCAATATAACATGCTATAGCATTGTTGCCCGTTTCTCGGCTTACACTTTTACAGCCCGAAAGTGTCAAATTTACACAATGTTTTGGTTGAATTGACACAACAAAGGCTAAAATTAGGCCTACTTCCTCAGAAATCACATGGAAAACTAGACATTTGCATTTGTTGAGTTACAAATGCAGGGTGATTGGGAGATTAGAAGAAATTTGGTTGGTTTTTGAGCTTCTGTCTATATTTCACAATATGATCATGATTGATTATTTTGTTCAAGAGTTATGAATGAAGTTGGTTACTTTTTCAATTAAAATCACTTGTAATTTGATTCCTGATGACATCATAATGACTTCAGAGTAATGCACCTATCAATGTTTCCTTCCCCCCCCCCCCTTCCTCACATTTTTCATGCCCCAGGGTGAGGCTTCTAAATTACATTGTTACCATTGACATCCTACATGAAAAGGCAATCACTAGCAATGACTAGTGCGGCCACTTATGTACGTCGGGGCATGGTTGGGGATTGTCACTTAAAGTTTGCCTGAGGGGCGGGGATGTTTGTCACTTCTAAAACACGCATCTTGGGTGGGGCAGCCCGGGGGGGGGGGGTCCAATGGGAAACTTTTGAGACTCTGGGGCAGCAAACACACCAGTCCTTTTTTATGTTGAGCATGCGCGCTTTAGCTTAAACACAACGTAAACAATTGAAAAGACCGGTGTGTTTGCTGCCACCAACATCTCAAAAGTCTCTCCTTGATAGGCACATTTAATGCACCACTCGGGATTAGATCAGGGTCGATATACAGTGCATGTTCAAATTTTCAAGTCTATACCATTAAAACCTTTCAGGAGAAAACTCACAGAGAATTGTTGTCTGAAAAAAAAATAAAGATTAATTTGTCATGTTTGCACCATTCTAAAAACTTAAAAGGTGATCGGGTCGTAGGCCTACCCGACAATGCCCAACATTGCCCGGTCATGTACGAATTAGACATCATGATCATGATGATCTGTGTGCTAGGAATGTCTTTAATTTCTTTGTCCAGTTCAGCATGTTCAGTGTGCTTCTAAACCACAAGGCCATGCCAAACAACAACAAAATGTTTAGCCTCCTGCCCTTTTGAAAGAAAGGCCCTTTTTTTCCCAAAGTGGCCGCCCGAACCATTTGATGTAGGCCTACGTAGCATAATGGTAGCTGGTATAGCCTACAAAAAAGGGGTACAAATCATTTTGGGGTATGAATTATTTAGAGTAGCCAATTTTCCTTAGTAAATACATACGACCTTTAAGTTGTACCTGTAGTGTTAGCCCAGTGGACTCCTCCGTTGTGTACAACGCAATGCAATGTCGACGACGTCCAACCTGGGCTACTGTAGTGTAATGTTTCCAAGTCCTAGTCCTGCCTTTAAGTGTATATGCCCGATGTTGTTTCAAAAAGTTCTCGGCAACTCATCACAATGACAATGATCATGCTGGATTCACAATAATCATGCTATTGCTGGATTGTCGTACATGACAAATTGACAAGCTCATTTTATGTCTATGGACTGCAGACGACCATTATTTAGTTGTAGCGCCCTCTAACTAGGCCTAGTTACTATTATGTGTTGCAGATCGGTGATCGCCGTGCTGAGAACATCGATAGTATATGTTTTTTGTTGGTTTTTGTCCAACCAAGCTGACCACTTTAGTGGGATCATCAGTAGTATAACAATTTTTAGGTGTGTCAACTCAATTTGGCTGTTTATTGGTAATGTTTTATCAGAAATGCGGAATGCGCATTTTGTTTTCTTGAAGAAAATAATTAAGATTGATTCTTGAGGGCGCCATTCATTTTGGCAGTATATTGATAAGCGTGTTGGCATGCCACTTGTAAACAAAGCTTCGGAACTGCGGAAGTGATGTGACCACGGGTGTGACGCGACGGGAATTTTGAAAGTATTAATTTAAAGGAATTTAAGGCGTGGATGCTAACTGCTCGGCTTTTCATTGGAGAGATATAATTTGAGGTTGAATTGAAGTTAACACAAGATGCCGCGCACGTGTGCTTCTATTTACGATGTGAATGGTAAGTACTCTACTATTAACATCAACTTGAATACTGCACCGTACAAGTACAACTCTCTGCCCTGCATGGATAGTTTTTTAAACTGCATTTTAAAGAAATGTTGTGGAAATTGATCACTGTGTCTTTGGGGGTATTTTTTAAGCTAACCTTTTCATGAAAAAAAAACGGACGGTGAAGTGTGATGATCGATCAGTATAAAAACAGGAATATCAAGGTGGATAAGGATTGAAACACGTCAGTATGAGTATGTAGATACAGTCATCCTACTTTAAGTACTATTCTTTATTCAAACGTGTCTTGACGCAAACTTTTATCAAATTGGTAAATAGTTTTCCATATTTTGCTGTATTCCACTTTTTCTTACTCTTTTTCTTTTTCTTGGTTAATTTATCTGAATTGTGTCATTTCAAACATAGTGGCATTTATCTTAAATATGCACAGACATACATACAGGAACATTTTGTTACTTATGACATCTGTTGCCCAGTCCCCCCATTTTAATATCTAAACGTCTCCCCTCCAGGTGTGATGTGCGATCGCAAAATCCTGACCATCTCCACCCTGATTGGCCAGCGTTATCCAGAGCTCGGCCTCAAGCTGGGACTGACAGAGGCCCAGCTGGCACAGATCAAGGCCAGCGAACCTGCGGATCTCCAACACCAGGTGTTCCACACCTTGGACCTGTGGAGACGGCAGGAGGGGAAGGGAGCAACACTGGAGAAGTTGAACGATGCCCTGAAGGAACTGGGATGGATCTCGGTGCTGACTCAGATCAGGAACACTCCAGACAACTTCTATGTTGTCGTATAAACTGTTTTGCATAGTCCCTGTACCATCCTGACCCACCCTGCCTGATGTTCCCCTTAGTCCCTGTACCGTCCAATGCCCCAGGAGCACTTGTATGGATTCATCAGGGAGTAAATATAATGTAACACAATGTAGTGCAGGTCATAAATAGTTTGCCAGATCAGTTAAAACACCATCCAAAATCAAAACACAAAACCCCAGCCCCACCCAACTCCACCCAACCCAAACCAACCTAACCCAACCCAGCCCAACACAACCCAACCAGACCCAACCCTTTACAACCCAAGCCAAAACAACCCAACCGAACCAAACCAAACGCCAACCAACCCAAACAATCCAACCCAATTCAAGGGCGGATCCAGAGCACAATTTTGGGGAGCCAAAAAAATTTGGTCCCCCAAAAAAGTGGGTAAAAAAATTACGGCGTGGGGTTCAGGGCCCGCTTAAGGGCCCCGACAAATTTGTGGATTCTAGATGCTCTGTGGTGCGATCTGAGGCAATTTCTGACCACTTTAACCAATGTTTTTTTGAGGAAAAGATGGTGGTGTACTCATTGCCTGCCTTTATTGCGATGTCACATTAAAAAAAATAAAAAAATTGGTTTCGTTTTTTTTTTTGGGGGGGGGGAGGCATGGCCCCCTTTGGCCCCCCCCCCCCCCCCGGACCCACCCTTGGTTGTTCTGTATCCTACTCAAAAGATTTGGCCAAGTTCTTTGCACAAAAAGCAAATAATCCCACGTGCCTTTACAAATCTGGTTAACCAATGTTTTTTTGAGGAAAAGATGGTGGTGTTCTCATTGCCTGCCTTTATTGCGATGTCATATAAAAAAAAAAATTGGTTTCTTTTTTTTTTGGGGGGGGGGGCATGGCCCCCTTTGGCCCCCCCTGGATCCGCCCTTGACCCAATTGAACTCTCAACCCAGCCTTGTACAGTCCAACCCAACCGGCACCTGAAGCAGCCCTGGAACAGCTCTACATTCAACCCAATCCAATTACCTCACCCTTAAAGCAACCTAATGCAACCCATTCCAGCCCACCATGGGCGTAGCGAGGAGGGGGCAAGGGGGGCACTTGGCCCCCCCCCCCCCCCCGGAAAAAAAAAAAAAAAAAAGAAGCAGAAGAAGAAAAAAAAAGAGAAAAAAGAAAAGAAACAGAGGCGCGAAGACAAAGTGGTGTAAATTTAATGAGGTTTTTTTTTGGGGGGGGGCAACATGTCCCTGCCCCCCTCTAAAACTGATAAATCGAGAATATGTTGAGAAATGCAAGCATTTTTTGCCAAAAAAAATGTTTGCCCCCCTCTAGAAAAAATCCTGGCCACGCCCATGCAGCCCATGGCAGCTGGCATAACCCAACTCAATCAAGCTGGCCCCATCTCAACTAAACACAAAGACACACTCTTTCTCATGATATGACAAATCTTCTTTTTATATATATGTTTGATTTCATTAATATTTTTCATAATATGGGATGGATTAGATTTTGCAAAATCTGGACACTTTTTTTCAAGATTCTGCAAAGTTTTGCACAAATACAATCTAGACCCAACTGACAATATCGATTTGCCATTGGTAATAGGATTTATACACTCCAGTAACGCAGTATCTGTGTGGACCGGATATAACTGGTTGCGTGTTTATTCCTGACCTAATATTGAAATGATTCAACACAGAAAACAACCACAAATCTTGTGACAAGCTCAGTGTTTTGTCATTCTAATTGTGTGAATTTGTCTGCATTAAACCATGGAGCTGTAGCTCCATGATTAAATGAAGTTTTAAGATTTTATGGATATGCCTACAAGTGGGGCACTTTCACATTTTATGGACAGTGTAGTTAAAGGGAAAATACAACATTTGCAAACATCAAAAAATAAAACTACCAAATCATTTTGAAATGCCTTGCTGGACTGTTAGTGAATGACAGTGTAAAGCATCCTGTAAAATCATGGCACCTGGTATACTGTCATTTTAAAGAAAAGTGGTATTTTTGTATCAATTTCCAACGCTGATCAGCCGATCAGCGTTGGAAACAACTGGCTTTTTTTTCAAATACTGGCCCCAATTGACCATCGCACTTGTTTGCAATCGATTACAAGCCTAAGAACGGGTACGAGCCAGCTAGACTGGTTCCCTGACCTTACAAAACTGCTGTGTTTCTTCTTATATGGAGTCAGGGAATCAGACTACAGGAAAATGATCGTTTTTCTTGGTTTTTATAGCATTTTCGAACCCAAAACCTCAAAAAAGTCAGTGTAACTATATTTACTATATATTTCCAACCCCCCCCCCCCCCCAATTCCATCCATTTCTGAAAATTACAGCAAAAGCAAATGATGTATATTCCCTTTAATATACTGACAGATTTTTTGTTTGCTTTACTTAAAAACAATAGCTAATAAAACCCTACTGTAATATCAGTGATGAACATTAAAGGTTAAGTTAAAATCCATGTCAATGAACATATCTGTTTGTAAAATTGTGTAAATATACATGTATATCTCAGTTCATAATAAAAATGGTCAACAGTTTGGGTTTTTTTTCAAGAAATTTAAAGACGGTGTTTTTTGTCATTTTATCCAGTTGATTCAGGGCTCGCTCGTAGTCGATTGGGAGTATTAAAAGGTGTTTAAGTTGATTTGTTTTTTATCACCCTGGTTTTTTAAAGATTTGATTTTCATTACTTAGCCGATAGTAATTCATTTTTTCATCCATTTTTTCAAGGTCATACACTTTATACAAACATTTGATAGAGTTACATGACCACTCTAGATGCAATTGTTTATCCATTTCCCCTATCATCAGGACCAGGGCCCCGTAGGGGGTCAAAATGCGGCGCCCCCCTTTAAAAAAAACATTCTAAATAGTTCCTCAAATTCACGTTTTGGGGCAAGGTCACGAAAAATGATTTGCCACCCCCCCCCCCCCCCCCCCACCTCCAGAAAAAGTAGGTATAGAGGTCTGTAGTGGTGACATTATTTGGGTTTTAAAAGCTGTGTTATAGAAGGAAATTAACTGACCCGAAGAACGTTTGTACCAAATTTGAAAACAATTTAATGTAGAAATCGTACAAAAGGATGGATGACGAGTTCAAACTAAAGCTGAACAATATATGCTGACATTGGGTTACGGATTTACAGATGCGAAAAACTTTCCGAATTCGTACAGCGTTAGCAAACAAAGTACCGGTATGCCATCTTCTTTTCTTGTCAGACAACCAAAGGCCTCACAAAGCGTCTCTGCGAAGACAAGAACCAGAAGTCAGGCAATCGGGTATCCTCCTGCAGCAGGTAGTCAACATCCACGCCATCACCATCGACGATTTTTTCATGCGAGCGCTGCAGAGAGAACGTGTTTTTTTGCGCTTTGGTCTGACTCACCACACCCGCTTGAACAGCTGCCTTATGCAGCTAAAGTTAAACATGACGAGGGGAACGAAAGAAAGATACTCAACAAAACTATTTTTCGAACAAAAGTATGCTCTGATATAGTAATATACCATCTTGTGGTGGCAGCAGCGCAACCAAATGACGGCATTAGGTTATACAGAATTGGCCAACCAATTCCTGCAAAATTTACGCGCCCACCACTACCTGCTCTCTCACCCTGGTATTGGATCATTTGCATGTGCAAGATTTTTGAACACGTATGCAAATGAGGAATAGTCTGCTGCCTGCCTGTGCGTTACATTTGCGTTTGTTTTTGTATGCGGTGTCTGGTGTAAAAAAAACAGAGTCAATTCGTCGCAGCGCGAGCATGGCGTGAGTAACGAAAACACGATTTTAAACTGTAACGATCTTAACGAAACAACATGCAGTATCACGTCATATTAATATTAACAAATTGGAAAGGAAATGCATATTTTCGAGAATGTGTGGACGAATGATCGCGAAAAACACGTACTGCACGTTGTGAATATCAATACCAAGTACACGATATAAATCCATTTCCAGCCAATTGCGGTATCGAATCAGGATACAGGTTTAGGAAAATTTCAAATTAGAAGGCAAGTCACTGTTGTTGTGAAGCCATTTTATGACGTTTAGGACCTTTCAGCTTCAATTCAGTGATCATCTGACATCCCTGTCCATTCGGCGCCATAATTGGGCGAAACGTTTAGATAGATCGATGATTATAAAGTAACATTCAAATGAAAAAAATCATCATGAATTTCCCATCTGATATTTCAACAGCAAGAAGTCTGTCCTGTTCACAAGGTCCGTCAGCTTGGGTATGATGCTCAGCAAGCCGCGGTAGAATTGCCGCTCCTCTGGCCCTTCAAAGTACTCTTCGGGCAAAGCGTCCACGCTCGGGTGGTCCAACTTGGTCAGGTCCGTGTCCCGATTAGTCAGATTGGACCACGTGGTCAGGATGACCTCAAGGTCTTCCCTGGTCCGCCGCTGCCGCTGGTTCTCCATCTCCTCAGGCAGCTGACGCAGCGTGTGGTAGACGTTCATCTTGACGTGCTGACGGAGGAGCCGGAAGTTGTGGAGGTTGTTTAGGAAGGTTTTCAGCAGGGAACGGAGGTCGATGGCCGGAAGGTCAATTGTCTCATCGAAGGTCCAGGATGAAATGCAATCTTCCAGCATCCGGAGAGAGGAGAAACACTGGACCTGCCGGTAGGTACGTATAATAAATCAAAACGTTTTCTTTAACCGGTACTCAATTTTTATCTAGTTTGATCGTTTTGTCAAAAAAGTAAGAAAATACATTCGTCAACTTTGACAAGTATCCGTCACAGTGGTAAAAAGGCTTAAAGGTTCGGCAAGTGGTTCAAGGTTCGGCAAGTGCGGGATGCCGATTTTTGTTCATTTTATAGCGTTTTGTACTGCTTCAAAATCTCACAAAATCACTTACTGACCACACACGAGCGCGTTTTGATTCTCTGCATGCCATGCAAGGTATTATTTACGCTATTATAACCCAACGCTAAAATCAGTAACTGACAAGTGGTTCTTGCTATTATTATTAAAACGGCGATAACTTTGATCATTTCATTTTCATTTCATTTCATTTATTAATTTCACAGGTAAAAATTCAAGTACAGACAATAAGAACAGTAAAGAAAACAAAAACAGGCACATACAGTTAGGAGAGAGAACAAGAAAAAGAGAAGAAAAAAAAGTAGCACCCCTGATGGATTTTAAAAAAGTAAACTAAATTACTATCGAGTTAATCTCCTGATGCCACAATTTAAGAAGAGACAATACAAAAGGACATTACAAATGGACATTATTAAAACATGGCTTACAGTATAAGAATATAGAACTATACAAGCAGTTAAAACTTTAAAAGCACAAATGGGCATTAAAAAATACAGATTCGGTAAAAAAAACAAGCAGCAAGGTATTTGAATGGGCAAGGCAACTAGAAATTTAAACTGTTTTGGTCAAGGGGACCTCCTGGCCAGGGACTAATAAATGATTTCTGAGAGAATTTGTAAAGGAGGATAAACT